AGGAGTCGGAATTAATCATATGGAACCACACACCAGCCTCTCCTAGCCAAATGGTGCCCAATGGAGGTAACGACACCGAGCGTAGCCACCATCAAGCCGGTGAGATAAGATCACCGATGCGAGATATGGCAGGAAGTGGACAAGACGGGAAACTTCATATCTGACGCTAGGAGAATCGCCAGAGCAGACCGCCGGCCATGTACCGCACCTGCGGTCACCGCCGAGGACACCAACCCTCTCCCATGAGCACCGCCAGCCACGAAGATGACGTCGGCTCTCCAAGCAGGGCCGCTGCCCTGGAGCCCCATTCCCTTAGACGAGACCGGAGCGACGAAATCCCCGCCGCCACCTTCACCGGCGGCCGCATGGGCTTGCCCGGCAGCCTCCTCTGGTGGCGATGACGAAGATGAGGGGGATAGAAGTGGCGGCGCGAGGTAACCCTAGTCGCCACCCGTGTCTCCCGGGAGGACGACCTAACAACAATAAAATCTCTACTCTAAAATGGAAATATTTTGCCTCATCTAGGCATGGTGCTATACTTTTGTTTGTTTCTTCGCCCCTCTTAAATTGTATAAGAACGCCACTAAAATCCATTACAACCATATACACCAAACAAACTCATGTAGCTAAGAATTTGTGAGGACATTTACCAACATATTTGTCAAAAAACCTTAGAACCGCGCCTCTTCAACTATAATCTTGTCACTCAGTGGTGACGATATATATACACACACTTAATATCAATTCACAGAAAATGTAAGCATTTTTGGGCCGCAAAGAGGTTTGTGCACTTGAGCACCTCTACATTTGTTAGCATTACTAGATGAATTGCAAGCATGCAGCTGAAAGATGCCAGCGATGTTATGAAGAGTCAAGCGTGTAAGGTTGACAACGGTTGTTAGTAGAACCAGATAGCACAACGCTGGAACATGCGGATGAAGTCAATGATTCCTTGCACCAGCAAGACGAAACCACACGTCGACACCCTCGTGCAGATGAGTTTGCCACTAACAACTAAGACATGGCTGCATCATGCCAGTGGCAAAGCATGAAGAGGGCTAGTCATCACACACATGATCAAGCTGTCCAGCTCATCCAGCACAAAAAACTGGTCCTCGTGTGTGAGTTTGCCCCTGATAATTAAGACACTTTCGATAGGCCCATATACTCGTTCATAAATGTATGGAACGATAAGAAGACAGCAGAGCGGCATAGACTTGCCTTGAAGATGGGGGACAAACTCTCGGGGCTTGAACTGACAAGGTTCCACTAAATGATAGCTTGAGGATGCAACTATGTGAAGATCCCTTATCAAACTATACCATTGTAAATTAGTCCTTGCTGCCAATTAGTGGAACATGAGACAACTTTTCTGTTGGGATCTCTATGCTTCTGCCAGATGTCAAGGCTGATGTAATGGCATGATTCTTCATGTCTACTAATCAGATGGTGCAGCACAGCTGTACACATATCTTCTGTATAAATAGGCGTCAGCAGAATGGTAGATGCATCAAACTAGAAGCTCTTCTTTCTTTCTCCTCTCTTCGACCACAATACCGAGCAAATCTTCAAGCTCAGACATGGCTTTCCACCAAAGATCAACCAGTTTGCCTTCTAGGCCTCACGTCAGTGAGACCGAAGTCAAGCTAGAGCTTCAGAGCCTAGAAGCTAGCACCTCTTCCTCTAATTCCATCAGCACGATGTGCGATGGTCTCAGGACTCTTGCAAACATCTACGATGGTCTTGAAGAAATCATCTGCCTACCAACCAACCAAGTTTGCTCCTCTGCTGGGAGGAGCATGTTGGATGGAGAAATAGACCGTTCTCTTGAGCTGCTAGATCTCTGCAACGCCATGCAAGAGATCTTCGTCGAGATGAAGGCCATCATCCAAGAGCTGCAATTGGCTCCAAGGAAAGGTGATGACGCAGCTACTCAGGCAAAGATCCAATCCTACACCCGCTTGGTGAAGAAGTGCAAGAATCTTTTCAAGAAGACTGTGAAGAAGGCTCCTGCAGATTGTAGCATGGTCATGCTGTTGGCCAAGGCTAGAGAGATCTCTGTGTCTCTGCTGGAGTCCACACTCCATCTCTTGTCGAAGCAAATTGAAATGCCTAAACAGTCTCTTGTTTCCAAGGCATTTCACAAGAAGAAGGCATCTGTTTGCAAGGAGGAGCAATCGTTGGGGCTAGAGTGCAGTATCAGAGATCTCGAGAGTGGAGCAGGACATCTGTTCAGGAAATTAGTCCAGAGCAGAGTTTTCCTACTCAACATCCTTAGCTCATAGATACTCCCAAGTCACTCTTGGCGCCCTCCGATTGGCATCCGCCTTTTTAAGGAAAGCTGATCTTCATACAATTTTGCCATATGTATATATACACTATACTGTACAAATGTACATGGTACTACAGAAAGAGAAAGAAAAGTTTTGATCCATTTGATCATTTCTTCCTTGAAGGCGTGTTTGTAATCCCAGTATAGTCTATTTTGAAGCCCATGCTTAGTGAATCTTGTTCCTTATGCATGAAACATGCCAGCTCAAAGCCAAATGGCCTCAACTTGTACTTGGCAGAATCAGTCAATTTTATTGTCCACCACCACCACATGGATGTGCAGTCTGGCATAATTAGTGGGCTCAAATTTTAAACATCGTCGACATCTATATCATTTAGCATTGAACAAAATGAAAATTACCCTAGAACCAAGCTTTTTGCATGTTCTACCGGATCAACAATAATCTGAGCAAGACGTAATCCAAACTTGCCAGTGCGCAAAGTTTTGTTCCTTTCCATATAATGATTTTCAATACACAGAGAATCCTATTCGAAAAAAATACACAAAGAACAACCGATTCTTTATATGCTTATTTGTTATTTCAAACTTCACCTAAGTAAAGATGCCGATGTCCGAAAATCAGTTAGTATGACTAAAAGGTAACAAGATTGAACAAAAACATTGAAAAAACTAGAGACACACATCAAAAGCTTGTCTGTGTAGTGGTTAGATATCAAATGGTCATGCTACTCACACGGTGGGTGGCTGAAAGCCTCAAAGTGAAAAAATGGGGATAACACGCTGAACCACTAACATGAATCTTGAGCAGTGGATCTTGTTTCCATGGCCTAAACATGCCAGCACCGACCGTCGAGGCTCTAACTTGTGATACCCATCAGTGCCCACCAAGGAAAATACCATATTAAAAGGCATGTTACAGCTAAATGCTAGGTTAGCGATCCATTAAATAATTGCATGGGCGTGCAATTATGCCAAGACGCACCGTCAGACTAAAACGCATCTTTTTCATTGGTTCTTGCTGCCAATGGCTGGAACATGATAACGTGGTGACTCATCTCATGGACAGTAGGCACAGAAAACAATGTACTAAACATGAGAAGACTTTAGTGCTGCGATCTCAAGGCATAGCAGACAGCATGTGGGAGTTGCAA